GAAGAATTTTCATTTTATTTTTGTAAAAAGTGTTTCTCATACAAATCATAATAGCAATAGTAATAATAATAATAATAATAATAATAGTAATAATAATGATAATAATAATAGAAACATGGTATGGCCCCCAAAACCCTAAATCTGATTTCTCTCCCAGCTTCAGTTTTCAATGGAAAGACAAACACAAATGTGTTTTTCAGTTAGAAAATCATGCTTCTATGCAATGTTTCCATTCCATTTTAAGTTTCTTTAGGCCTTCGTTAGTCAGTGGAACACTAGCTGCTATAACAAAACCTCTTATATATCAGTAGTGTAGAACAATAGAAATGCATTGTCAGCTCATGTGAAGATTCAGGTCTTTCTGGTCAACTATATAGTTTCCTCTAGGCAAGGATTCAAAAGGCCCAAGCTCCTATTCTCTCATGGTCTGGCCACCTTCGAGGGCCCTGTTTTTGCAGGCAAAGGGGGAGAGAGAAGGCATGGAAGGAACACCTGCTTATGAATCGCCTTCATCTGGCAGGTACACACATTATTTTGATCACAACTCATGAACCATCTCTAGCCACGTGGCACCGCCCCCTTGCATTGGGAACTGAAAATGTAATTCCTAACTGAGCATCCGTTTCCCAGAGACGGTGCTCTACCATGGAAGAGGGAGGATAATTTGTGGTGCATGGTTGGCTATCTGAGCCACCAGACAAGAGCCCGTGCCTTCTATAATTGTGCTACTCACAAGGAAGTTTTCATCATATCAAATACTTATCTTCTTTAAGTATAAAGAAGGCTCTTCACCCTCTTCCCTCTGATTGTCACTCCAGGGGCATAACTTCCTCAAGGAGACCTCTTAGGACCCATGGCACCCATGGTACTCCTGTCACCAAATAGAATTAGCTTCACGCTGAATAATCTAATTTCCTTATTTCACTCCCATCTTCCCAATTAGACTGTAGTTCTGTGACAGCAGTGAACTTGCCTGCCTCGTTTATCACTATATTTTTAGTGCTTAACACTGTCCTGGCATATTCTAAGTACTCAATAAATATTTGAGAAAAAAGGAAGGACAGAAAAAAGAAAGGAAGGAAGAAGGAAGGAGGGATGGAAGGAGGGGGGCTGGTTGGCTCTGGAGGTAGCTCAGTCTGGCTACTTATAATTTGTACCATTTCAAGAGTAGCCAGAAAATAAGCTGGTCACATTTCTGGGCCAAGGACCCACCCCTCTTTGGAGAAATAGTTGCACATACCCACATAAGCTGTCTTGGCAAGCTCTGATAGTAATTAAAAACTAGAGATTTTCTGCCTTTTGCCTCCAAATGCCTCTAAATACAATGGAATAGTACTCAACAATAAAAAGGAATGGGCTATTAATACATGCGACAAGGTGAATGAATGTCAAAATAATTATGCTAAGTAAAAGAAGTGAGGCAAAAATAATACGTACTGTATCATTTCATTTATATTTCATTTTAGGAAATGCAAACTAATTGCTAGTTACAGAAAGCAGATAAGCAGTTGTCTCGGCTTGGGTGACATGAATGGGTGGGTGGGTAGGATTACAGAGGACATTAAGAAACTTTTGGGGGTAATGGATATGGTCACTTTCTTAATTGTGGTCGTGGTTTCCTGGGTGTGTGCATATACCAAAACTTCTCAAATTGTACATTTCAAATATGTGGGATTTATTGTTGTCAATTATACCTCAGTAAAGCTGTTAAAAATAAAATAAAAATAAAAATAAACAAATGTGAGGTTAAAAGTATACTAATCCAGAATCACATCCCTGCTCGCTCAAGAGTTTGAGCTCTGAGCAACAGTGGTTCGATTCCCAGCCCGAGCTGAGCTGCCGCTGAGCTGCCAACAGGTGGCAGGATGGCTCAGCTTAAAAAACAAAAAAACAAAAACAGAATCACATCCTTCCACCCCATCATATCTAATTCTTGGGTGGTTTGTGTCTTTAAAAAATACTTCAGGGCCGGTGGAG